GTTATGAAATCTCGAATTCTCTCCCTTTCGAATGTAAATCATGATTTGGCTTTGTCTTTCATTTATCTTTTTCAATTTCATGTTCTACATTTGTTTTTAACCAGTCCAAACTAGTTTTAAATTGTCTTCCAAACATAATCTTGGCAGGAGATCTCCCTGTTGAGTTATGCTCCCCCAATCGGTAGGTTGTTAAAACCTGTATCATAGTTTCTTCTGGATCAAAAATTGACTCTCTCGTTGCGTAATATCGACATTTCAAAGTTCGTATTGTACGCTCAGCTAATCCATTAGTTTTCGGATGATAGGGTGTCGAACGTATATGACATATGTTATTTAATTCACATTACCGACGGAATTCCCCAGATATGAATTGTGGTATTGTCTGACACAATATACTTGGGTATTCCAAACTTAGCAAACCATTTTTTTATTCGTTCAATCATAGAATCAGCCGAGGTATTCTGCAATTGATCAACTTCTAACCATTTGGAGTAGGAATCGACACCAATTACCCAATATCGCGAATCCACTGGTCCAGCAAAAATCAACATGGATTCGCTCTCAAGATTCCTTACCAACAGTTCAAGAATACAAGACTTCTTATATTCTAGGTATATTTTTCTGGTCCAGAGCATATTTTGATAAAATTTTCTATGTTAATAACATCTGGGCCACCAACAATACAATCTAAAAATAGATTTCATTACATGTTCCCCAGGATGTCCCTTGTGAATCATTCCTAACACTGCATTTCTTATCACGATCGACAGAGAGCTTTTCCGTTGATTATAGAGATTAACAATTTCTTTATGGCATTGCTATTTTTTTTAATATTAAATCTTGCTTCGACTCTTTTCGTTGAAAATTTTCTGACAATTGCATGTCATCCAAATTAATACTTCGAATCTCCAAAGTTTGTTTAGAATCATGATTTTCTTTCATGTCTAATATCGAAAGCCTTGATAATGCGTCGTCGATTACATCTTTACTGCCTGTCTATATTATATTCTAAAATCATAAGAAGCCTTCCTCCATGCCCAACGTGTCAAATGATTATTAGAAATTTTAGGTAGATCGTGTTTCTCCCCAAATAATCGCTCTAATGGTTTGTGATCAGTTCGAAGTATAAATTTGAATGAAATTTTGAATACCAAATAAAAGTTCTCGAACATTATTATCAATCAGCGTAGTGTTTCTCTGATTCTAATAAAGTACGTGACGCGAACGAAATAGGCTTTATCCTTCCGTCTACTAATTGATGTAACAATACATCTCCTAATCCTGAATCAGATGCGTCGCATAAAATTATAGGCAACTGCGCGTTATAAAGAATTAACGTTTCCTCGGAAGACAATAATTTTTTAACCTCATCGAAGGAATTTTGTTCATCTTTCGTCCACCGCCAAGGTACTTTCACGCTTGTTAATTTAAGTAATAGCGCCGCTTTACAATATATTACGAATAAAACGTTCATGATGATTCACGAGCCCTAGAAAAGATATAAGTTGTTGTATATTCTTAAGTTTTGGTGCATTTCAGATAACCTTCACCTTTTCTGGGTTAGGATGTAAAAATCTAACTTTCGTCAATTTCGCCTTAAGACCAACCTTCTGTAATCTGTCTAACACAATTCGCAAATTTTTTATGTGCTCCTCATCGTTTAGAAATATTTACGTCATCTAAGTAGACACCAGTCATTTAACAATCTTTTAGCAACTCATCCATATATCTCAAGAATATAGTAGGTGACTTGCCAATCCAAAAGGCAATCGTCGGTAACGGAAATAACCCTTATGAGTTACTATCGTTAGGAATTACTGAGATTCCGATTCTACTTCTATCTGTAAATATGCATCTTTCAGATCTATCACGGTAAATTTATACCTTGGATTTCCTCTAACAAATCATCTAAGGTAGGAATAACATGATGGTCATACAATAAACACGGATTGAGTGTAACTTTGAAAATCAGCGCAAATTCGAATATCGCCATTATTCTTGCGCCTATTTACGGTTGGCGTTGACCACTGTACCCTAGTTATAGTCGAATCAATCTTTTCGATAATTCTCGCAGCCACTAATCGGTCTAATTCCATTTCAATTGCTTTGCAAAGTGGAAATGGTACCTTACGGGCTGGAAACGATCTTGGTACAGCAAAACCCTTTAAATGTTTTCGCATCGCAAAATCACGTATATGTCCCATCTTATCATCAAAAATTTCTTGATGTTTATTTTAAATTCTAGAATCGAATGTTATGCAACATTTTTTAGTGTTGACCGAATTGCGCACTAATCCGAAAAGGGGCATCTCAGTTGTGTTCATTATTACCACAAGTAGGGTCCTTGTCTGTGATCCAATCCTACCATTGACTTGGGTCTCACCCTTAACGTCTAACGGATGATCACCATATGCAGTCAATGGACTGGTTGGCCTAATTTTTGGTCGTCCAATACTTGTCCTTATATCAATTCCTATCAATGACGCCTGTGCACCAGTGTCAAAATCAAATTCAACATCTAACCCATTTATCTCTGCAGTTAGTTTTGCTCGATTCTCTCGATTTTGTTGAATCTTCCATTTACTATGAATAGAATCACTTGATGACACTCTTATATAATTTAAATTCTTTGATTTACAACAACTGCAAAATGACCAATTTTTTACATTTTACATGTCGTATTTGTATCTGGACATCTCACTTCTCGTTTATGAATAAACCCACATTTATAACATTTAAGTTTATTATAATCTTTATCAAGGGTATTATTATATTTGTATTTATTATCCTCTTTATCCTCTTTATCAAATGTATTATTATTATACTTGGATTTATTATAGCCTTTATCAAACGTATTGGTTTTAAATGGATGTTTTTAATTATTAGTATTCACATTTCTTTTGTTATTATCATTTATCTTATTGACAACCGGAATATTTTTATTTGCAATTTCATTGTCTGCTCGCTCAGAAGCGATTGCCAGATCAAGAATAAATTTGAAAGTCAACAGATCAAGAATAAATTTGAAAGTCAACAGATCAAGAATAAATTTGAAAGTCAATACATTATTATCTCTATCAAGTCCGTTGAGATATAGAGCCCTAAGATCCCCGGCATTTTTATGCCAACCATAAACTGATCACGTAAACGCTCGTCAATATCATAACGCTTGCCAATTGTTCTAATTTTATTTGCAAATTCAGTTATGGTTTCGTTGTTCTCCGTAGTCTAACGAAATCAAATCTAGATGCAAAAGTTGTTGATGTCGATTTAAATAATTTAAAACATATTGACTTAATTTCCTTATAAATAAAGTTTCAACGAATCAGGATAACAAGAACGGTCCATCAATATTCTTATTGCAATGTTAAAAATATTTCTTTATATTGACATTCAGTAGGGCTTACGTTTTTTAACCGAAAACTGGCTTCCCATTGAGAAAAATATCTATAAATCAAACTTTCGTCATCGAATTAATCAAATTTAATCGTAGATAAGTCCGCCAATTTTCTTTTATCCGCCAAATTTTCTGATTTAAGGAAATATTTTCTCCATTAGAAATCGCCACCTGTCTCCATTTTAATAAAACGAAACAACTAATTATTAGCTATTTAGAAAATTACCATGGATTAAAATTTATCTTTTTATTATATTTAAAATTATCACATCATATTTATTAATTGATTAGAATGTTTTATTCTTTTTATATATATATATATTTGTTACATAAATAATTAATACAATTTATTACAATAATTAACTTTGGAATAAGGCAGGGACTGCATTGGTTAGACAGCATTGTCCAAAACCATTTTAAAAAAATTCGAAAAGTTTCAAAACTTTTGCAAATTTTAATGAAGACGACGTATGTTAAATTTTTGAAATTTATAAAATTTTCTAGAATTATGTTTTGGACATTTCTTTATTCTTATATTAAAAATATTTCATTAAGGTTTTCTAAAGTTTATGAATTAATTTGTTGGACACAGCCTTGAGAATATATTTATCGTAATCTATACCGAATTTAAGCGGTTTGGCCTCGTCAAATTACAACAACTTAGTGATCGAAGGATAATATAACTATTAAAATGATGGTCCAGCGGCTTGATTCGAAACTCAAATAAATTGATATAACCTTCACTATTCAGGGGAAGAATATCAAAATTTTTTAAGGTTTAAGAAATCGAAAGGTAAGAAAGGGAAAATCCGAAAAGAAAGAAGAAAATAATGAGAGAGAGAAGGAACTAATGGAAATTTATTGATGCTTTTTAATTTATATAATTATTATAAATATATTCTTATGGGCGACTTTGTTATCTAATAAAATTAAGATGCCACTTATACTACTGAAATTGATAACTCATTATTATCTTTATATATGATCATTTTTAAAACCATATCGTGTGTTTTCTGTTATAAAACTCAAATATGTTCCTATATCAAATAAATTTTTTTGTTCTTTCCTTCATTCCCAGATGGAATGTAAGGATATATTTAGCTAATTATTTTGATTCAATTAAAAATGTTTTCTTTTTAAATGCGATCATATTATTTTTCAACCTCTAAATTTTTTTATTAATTTGATTCTAAGATCTTGCAACAACTTAATGAGTCTAAGATATAAATTAGAGACGTATGGAATGTCTTTTAAAAATCACGACCGGGCCTAATAATTTACAAATTTTATTACAAACCCAATTGAGCCTAAAAAAAATTACGAACCCGGGGGACAGGCTAAATTTTATAACAATAAATTGAAAAAATGATAGAATTAATCATTTGACATGTTCATTTGTCTCACATTTTTTTCCCCTTTGATACCATTTACAAAACACTGAGCCCATACCAAATTATCTTAAATTATGAAATGGAAATCTTAAAAAAATATATTTATCAATAAATTTGTCAAATCGCCGGGTATAAAATTGTGAATGATTTCAATTTTTAAAAAAACTTTATCAATGATATCAAAATACGAAATTATTACATTTATAATTTAGGTATTACCTGACTCTAACCACGAAATCGCCCGAAAACAGTTTGATGTCCATCGGCGTGGACTCGTACGAACAGAGACGGGCCTTGATCACCGCAATTTTAAAGCACGTTCCGCAGTTTCACGTCATTCCGAACCTTTTGACGCTGTCGGACATCGACAGGATAGGCTACGCTTACGTCAAGGATAATCTTGTTGGGGTAAGAATCTAACATGAATAATAATTTAAGTTAGCGGTAGGATTGAACTAAAATTATTATGACTCTTAAATTATGCATGACTTACAAAGTTTGTTTCTTTAAAAAAAGTTCTGTAGTGTATAAAATAATCATTTTCTCTGCGTTGACGTTAATTAGTGAATTGATAAAGCTCGATAAATTGAGTAGGGAAATAAAGATTTATTAATTGATTAAGCTAGAGAAAATCGATAAGAATAAATAATAACAAAAATTTTTATTTATCCTCATTTTTTATGATCTCATTCAACTGATAAGACCAATTATTTAAGAATTTAATAAATACTTATCTATTTTTTAAAATAAAATCCCAAATGATATAAATTGTAATATTTATTTATACCTTTATAAATATAACTTTGTATTTTAAATTTTGTTTTAATCATGATATAAACGAATTTAAAAATTCGTACTCTAAGGAGAGTGAATATAAAATTTGATCTACAAACTTTCGGATTTTTTAGGACCTGTTCATGGGCCGTTATATCTGAGGCGGGAATTTTTATGATTTCTAACTTGGAAGGAAGAGTAGCCCGATGCCCCAATTAATGTTGAATTCATCATTTATTCCCTCCAAAAAAGTTTTGATTTGTTATTATATGAGTGATGATCTTAGAGTCTATAAAATTTTGATTGAAAAGAAAGGCTATAAGCTGATAAGAGTTTTAGATGGGTTTTTGGAAACTATTTTTAAAATGTGCTGAGGGGTTAGGTTATTATTAGTATCATTTATTTAAAGATTAAAAATGGTGGAAAAAATGTAATCAATATTAGAATGTGCGATATAATATTATATGCCGATTTTTGTGCAACCTATACCGAAAGAAAGAAATTGAAAGAAAAGAATGAAATAAATCTATTCAAAATATTTGATGATAGCTTCGGAAACCACGATAAGCTTCTTATATTATATAATAAATAAAAAATTTGAAAATATAAATTAATTATGAAAAATTTCTTACACTTAAAATACCGCCTCTCTTTCATCATTGCATTTGAAAAATAAGATCTTTAAAAAAAATAAGTTGGAATAAGGTGGCTGCAATTCGTTCGTAAGAATTAATTAAGTTAGCTTAGATATTTTAACATTCAGTAATGTAACAATCTCTGCAGCGTTGCAGCTGGGTCCGCTCCTTTTGGGGACCAAAATTACTAGCAAAATATTTCTAGGATCGTGATATTAGGATGCGTTTTTAGAAATATAATTTCTATGACAGCCATCATCTAAGAATATTATAATATTTCCAAAGTTCAAAATTTTTTGTGGTTACGCCTTACGCGAGAATAACTTAATTCTAATCGGCCCGAAATCCCCAAAAATTTTTAACGCCGCCCCCATACCTTTTCGTAAGGACTCGAGGAAATGGTGAGCCAGGTCAGGAACCTCGTTATATAAGTTTCAGCGGGTACTTTCTTAATCAACATACATAGTCATTATTCATTTTCTATTTTAGTCATCTAGTGGACTTCAGCGTCGGCCTAAGGGAATCTAGAGGTCTAAGGTTGTTCATAGAACTTCTTTTACAAATTTTAAATAACTTTGGGTGTTCAATTAAGTTTGAATTATACAGCATTGAACTTCAAATTAGCTTTTTTTATTCACTAATATTTCGGGCCTTCGATTCACGGATTTGAATTATGTTTTAAGATCTGATTTTGGTCTAAGTTTCACCGAATTGAATACAGAACCAAGAAATCAAATAAAAAAAAATTTCTAAAAATTAGATTGATGCTGTGTTGCCACTTTAATGACTTAGGATTTTGTTTTGGGGTTTATATCGATTTTTCTTAATCTTAACTAATATGAGGGGTTTTCTTAAAAACAATAAACTAAATAGGTTCTCTTTAACCATTTCTGAATATAAAATTTCTAATACAGTTTAATTTGAGAGAATACTGGCCATTTTTATATCAATGATGACAAAGATATGGCATAATCGATTTACATGGTTTAGGGACCGAGATAGATGGCCGTTTTTCGAGATAATCATTATTATTGTATAGAGGTAATTTTATTTGATTCTACCAAATCACATTTCAATTCAAAAAAATGAAATGAATCATTTTTACAAATTTTCGAGTGCTCCAATTTTTTTTTCTATTTAATTTGTTTTTTAAAATTTTTTGTTTCAGTTTTGCGAAGACTCGAGCTTGATGGAAATTGAGTTAGTATATCACAAAATCAATTTCAATATCATAATTTTAAGATCACAATTGATTTTTATTATTTAATAACAAATTATCCAACCTCAATTTTGTGATTTCTTTTCAATAAATACATAATTAATATTTTCTAAAAGATATATTTTTAATAAAACAACAAATTTAATAAATTTTTTATATAATATATTTCCATAATATATTTTTAAATATTATATATAATATAAGAATAAGTATTCTATTAAGTATATATATAAAAAAATACTTTAATATTACAACTTAATATATTTAAAAAAAATATATAATAATTAATATTTGTATATATATTTATATACATATATAAAAAAAAAACATTTTAAAAAAATAAATAAATATAGTATTGGAGGATATGTTTGTGACGGTGTTAAAAAAAAAATTTTAAAAAAATATATTGAGGTTAGGAAGGATAATCTTGTGGGGAGAGACTGCCTATGAAGCTAATATTAGCCTTGTGTATTGCGATGGAGAGCCTTTGCCTTAAGAAGAAGCCCTCGCGGGGTTCACCGGTTAGTTGACGAATGTGGGAGCCGAGTTCCTTGAAAAAGGATAAGGCATATTTCCCAAAAGTAGTAAGGGTAGTGGAAATAATGGGGATGAAAATATATTCTTGAGAGATTTCGGAATATTTCGCTATTTTGAGTGTCTCCTTTTTCTCGAGTATATTGACTATTTGATTTGATGGAGCGAGTGGATCAATACAAGAATAGTCCCAGATCAGGAATTGACCGCGCTTCCAAGGAATTTGCGAAATACCGTCAGGCCGTTTCCCATCAGATCTGAAAAGACCGGATGGTTCAAGAGTGGAGGGGATTTGAGCAGATCTAAGAGCTCTAAGAATGATCGAATTGCATAGATTATGTCTTACAATTCGACCTTTACATGAGCGACAATGAAGACTATGTCTTCCATTGCCCAAAACTGCGGAGCCGCAACCTGAACAAATGTGGGGTTGGGTAATAAGGCAATTTAAACGGATACCGATAGCATGTGTGAGCTCGTTTTTATTTAGTTGTAATTGCAGATTAATAGACGGAATGGCCTCGAGAAACTCATGGCCTGAACCATTAAGCAAAGAAGAGAATAAGGGACGGTCTGATAATTGCATTCTGGAAAGGAGTGATTCAACGCAGAGTGCAATAATAGGCCTATCCCAGTCCTTCTGCTTATTAGATTCAGGAAGAGGGTGATCCGCAAAAATTCATGTCCTCCATTCGATGATTGCATCATTAAAAGAAGAGTCGGGTTTTAAAGAATTGGGATTTATTATGTTTTTAGTTAGTAGGCAACTGGATATAAAGGCCGTTAAGGCGAGATCAGCTGGAGATCTGAGGCCCAGACCTCCCATCTTTGTGGGTAAAGAAGCTTGTGTCCAAGCAATTTCATGGAATTTAAGATTTAGAATGTTTTCGATAAGGATTTTGATCCCATTATCATAAACTCCAAGTGGAATGGGGAATTTAAATATGGCAGTTGAGCGAAGTGCGTAAAGAATACGGGGAATATTGAAAAAATTTTTCACCAGGAAAAAGGCTTTATGAGAAGGAAGAAGGGAAAATAAATCTGCCATCTCTAATAAAGTATCCAAAGTGGACTGAAGAAAGAAAGAAATAGCAGTTACCACCAACAGGGGCTCCCAGATGATAGAGACCGTCAAGAGTCGTTAGTTTGAATTTGTTAGTATTAGGTTCGATTGTATGGAATAAATTCTGATTTCTCTGGATTAATGGAGAGTCCTATAGCTGATCCGGCCTCCTTGATGATGTTCACAGCTTTATTGACTTCAACATTGGATCCTCCAAGGATACCATCATCAATGTACCAGGAATGCAAGGATAATGAGCAGACCGAATTGATGGATTTAATGATGTCATTAATACCTAAACAAAAGAATAGGGAACCTAGGGGGTCTCCCTGCTGAATGCCCTCGACGGAAGGGATTTTAAAGGTATCAAACAGAAGAGTGGAGGGCTGTTGATAACACGAATAAAAAAACTTAGTGTAACTGGGAAAAAGATTACTTGAAGAACTCAAAAAGGAGCTCCGGGAGAGTGTGTTGTAAGCATTAGAGAAGTCAATTTTTATCAAGGATTCATTAGAAGGTAAATTTTCAAGATATAATCTGGACAAATGTACAACAGCTTCACAGCCACCAGGGATTCCTACACCAAGTTGGAAGGGACTTAGGAGACGTGAAGCATCATGCTTAATTCGAGATGATATCATCTTGGCTACTAATCGGCGAAAGGTAGAACCAATGGCAATGGGTCTGATATCATTATTAGGTTTTTGAAGTGCAATTAGCCTGGCACCAAAGAGGATAGGTGAAACGAAATTTGGAACCTCACCGTTTAAAATTTTGTATCATGGTTTTATTTCGATTTCTTTCTTTCATTTAGCTTCTTTTTTTTATGATTTTCTTAAAATGAGCAAAAAAAATGATGAAAAATATTTTACGGTCCATATAAGATAAAGATGTAGTTGTAATTTACGGTTTTAACAATTAGTTAATTTATTATTCTTAAACTTTGCTTAATTAATTTTTAAAAAATTGAAAAAAATAAATAATTTTAATTATTATCCACTATTTAATATACAATACAATCAAAAAAATATCCATATAAAGTCATAGACATTTTAATTGTATAAATTAAGATCAATTATTTCAAAATGCGGGGTATGGGATATTGATATAGGTTAGGTCATGTTCAGATATGTTGGGCATCGGCCTACTAAAAAATATATTTAATCCTGTGTCAAAAACCATC